AGAAGGCATTCAGTAACTCTGCCTTCTCTTATCAAGACGTTGTCATTATATTTTGAGAGGTGAGGAGACATTCTCTGGGGCAATGTTTCGATTTATTTTTTGGTCATCTTCTGAAGTCAGGCAGACCCGTCTGCTGTCCCACCAGCAGAAGGTCAGCCCAGTGTGCCCATCCTTGGCCGTGCTCCCCAGGAACATGGCTCCGGGGGTGAACACAGTGGCCCCTCCACTGGGGCTGCCTCGGGGGGAGGCATCTGTTGACAGTTTGACTGGCAGAGTGAAGCTTGAATTGTGTTTGCTTGGATAGTCAAAGGACTTGGAACAAATGTCTCCAACTTACATTGGTTCAGACAAAAGGATCCCAGCCTTGTCACAGGATCAATGGGGCTCATGAGAAACCAATTGTGTAGACCCCCTCTGCTCTCAGACCCTTCTAAAACAGAAGAAAACATTATAATAATAATAACAACAACAATAATAATAATTATTGTTTATGTTGGAAGAGACCTTTAAGATAATTGAGTCCAACTGTAATCCTAACACTGCCAAGTCCACCACTGAACCTCATCCCTAAGTGCCACATCTACCCATCTTTTAAACACTTCCAGGGATGGTGACTCAACCACTTCCCTGGGCAGCCTCTTCCAATGCTTGACAATCCTTTCAGTGAAGAATTTTTTCCTAATATCCAGATTAATAACAAAAATAATAATTTTTTCAAAACTCAGAGACGCTCACTCCCTTCTGGACCAGGGTGCATTGGGGTGCCAAGAGCAAGGTCAGGGATTGGGGCTGAAAGTCTGTGGTTGGGCATTTTGCTGTCCTGTGTTTTGCTCCCCATCCTGACCCTGCTGACAACCCCTGCCCTTGCAGACCTGGTGCCAGGAGGAAGAGCAGACTGGACTTTACGGTGCCTGGAGGGGGGAACCAGGGGGACAGGGTCTGCCGCATCCGCATCCATCTGGCACACTGAAGAAAGGAATGAAGGAAAAGGAAGGAGGGGGTGGGTAGAAGAGAAAATCCCAAAGATCCTCGGATAATAAGCACCATTAAGGTTAGTCTGTCTCATGATTGTTTCTTATTAAAAAGAGACTGTACTTTATCTGTGCAGGATATGCTGTTTGGATGAGGGAATTAGCAGAGTGACTGCCTCCATATCATCTAATTAGCAAAAATGTTGATAAGCAGATACAATCACATATGATTAGGATCCTTTTAAAAAGCCACTCCATTAATTAAATAGACAGAAAGGCCGCCTCTAGCCCTCGCGTGCCACTGATTAGAATACAAATATTTACACTAATCTCACCTCCATCAGCCATGGGACACTTTTGAGTATTTTTAGTGACATCAGATTACTATTGATTTTCATCCCCAATGTCAGACCATTTTGTTAGTATCTGAAAGTGCTGCCTTCAGTTTCGGATGCTTTAAATCATGTTAAGGGTTTATCTTAATGACGCTGCTGATAACCACTGTTCAGGTCACTCGTACTTTCTCTTCAAAGAACACAGTCTGGGCTGGTTTTTATTGTTTGTACTTGAGATTTAAGATACGAAAAACATTTCTCATTTCAAAGCCTTGGTTTCTAGGGATGGGGCTGCCAGGCTAGTTTGGGTCTAGTTACTTGATCTGTGCATGTCTCTTTCATTTCCCTTTCTCTCTGCCTCTCTTGGACCATTTCTTTTTTCCTTGCAAACCTTTTTGGCTCACAGTAGTGGCCTTTCTTGAATGGCTGCTAATCTCTGATGCCTGCTGCAGGCAGCAGACAGACAGGCAGTGAGCGTCCCCCATTCGGGGATGTCAGGAGAAAAACACTCCCTACTTTTCAGATGGGGAGGACACACAAAATCCAAGACAGATAATCCAGCGTGCCAGCCAGTCTGAGATGGGCGCTCATCATCAAAAGCAAGTACGGGAGGAGATGCTTTGCAAAGAGACAGCACAAGACAGTTCCTTCCTTCCTTCTGTGTACCATCCCCACTCCCTGCAGGAGAAAGCTGGCCTGGGACCCTCCAACAGGCTTTTCTAATGTCCCATTTTCCCTTCTGGGTAACAGAGAGTAGGAAGAGCATTTGCTCTTGAAATTTCTGCCAAGTATCTGCAAATGGACCATGCTGGCAGTGGAGCTAGGCTAGGAGCTGTTGGCATCTTTCAGTGGCTTGTAGGTGGTAAGCTTGGAGCACCCTCAAGTCCAATGGACAATCCTAAAAAAAAACCCACTAGCCCAAATAGATGAGTACTACAGTGTGAGCGAGCCATGAAGCCTTAGCTCTCTCCTCAGTGTAGAAAAGCACTTTGTATTGCTTTGGGAACGCAAAGAGCCATCCAAGTTCAAATGGGCAGCAGCATCTTGCTGCTGGGCCCAGATTAACTTTTACCATTGCTACAGCACAAGCAACACCCAGCGGAAAAATAATTCACGTGGCACAACCACCCTGTAGTTGAGACCTCCTCTGTGCAAAAGGAGGTAAAGGCCAAGATCTCCCCAAGGAGGTGAGTCCATGGGACCATGAACCACTTCCTTGCTTTGCCCTCAGCTCAGCTCTAGCCTCCAAGACCAGCACTGCACTGCCTTACAGCAATTTTTACTGCCAGAATTTGACATGTACCTCCATACTGCTGACTCATCAGTTATCAGTGAGAAAACCAGCAAAACAAAGCCCTTCTCTGCCATGCATCAGCTCAATCGCCTTCCTTCCTCTGCCACATCACTTTCTACAGGCTGACACGGCTGCCTTGGCTTCACAGCCCCACACGTATGATGTATGTTAGGACAGCAGCCAGCTCATACGCTGCACATATGCTCTTTGGTCTGGCCAGCTCTTGATTCCTTCCCAAAGTGTGGGATAATGGAAACGAGGGCAGTGATCTGCAACACATGCTGCCATTAGAAGGTGTTTATGACGTTGCACTACAGACAGATGAGTTCTTCTTACTGGCACTTCCTAGGAGACCTCCTTTGTGCAACGATTCTCTGTGAGGATACTGCATTTCCCACAGGAATGGCAAATCCAGAGAACAGAAAGAGACGTAGAATAACCCCAGACTGGATCATCAGAGTTCAGCTTCTCAGGCTGAACTTGTCAGTGTTGAGTTCATGGGGCTTTCCTGTTGTACATTCATCCACCATGAGACAGATGTCCAAAAAGCACCCAGAAAAGAGGCTAAAGTTGTTAATGAGCTTCATTCTGGGCATTTATTTTGGTACCAACATGAGAACTAAGTTCATCCAGAAGTTTTAGGTTTGTCTTTAAACTCAGAAGAGATCATGCTGGTCATCTAATCACGATTTTAGGAAAAGGACCCACTCTGGGTTGAAAACAGCCACATGAGAAGGTTCCAATGATTCATTACATTCATAGTAAAGGATGTGAAATTTATTTGAAGTTTAAATTTGGCTAGTGCCACCTTCCAACTGCTCTGTCTGAGATTCTGAAGGTCCCTGTGCCACTGATTTTCAGCTCCCATGCAGGTTCTTGCAGACCGAGATGAAGCTGGCACTGAACTTTCTCTTAATACTAGGACACTTCTCCTGAGTATCTTTCACTAGAATGTGTTTTCCAAACCCTTAATTACACTTTATGGCTCTTCCTCGAGCCTTCTCCAGTTTTTCACCGCTTTTCCCAAACTGTGGGAAGCCAAACTGCAAACAGCTTTGCTATAGCTGCTGCTATAGTGTAATGTGCCCCATAGGGGTCATATGACCTCAGTACAGCACGCTTCCCTGGACTGCACAGAAAACCACACCAAGCATCTGAGAATCCCAGCTTGGGGCCGGTGCAGGCAAAAACTAATCTCACAAAGCCACACGTCATGACTGTGACACCACAGCTACATCAGCCAGCTCCAGCTCGCTTCTGTGCAAGGCCAGTGACAACCAATGGCACCCTCGAATGAGGTCAGCTCAACTGAGCAATGACTGGCTGAGCCCCCTCTGAGGTCACAATCTCCTCATTTCTGGACACCAGGCTGAAAAAGAAAGGGACGGTCAAGCAGCCCTTTTCTCCCTGTGTGGCCTTGTAATGCAAGAGGAGAGAAGAGATCAAGGGATGAACTGAGCATCCACCCCTCACCGAGGAGCGCAGTGGTGGCAGGTGTCCAGCAGTCTCTGCAGGTTGACCATCCCCGGACTGCTTGTCCTTGGTGGGAGAGAGGTACCAGGCATCCAAACAGCCCCACCTTTCCTTTGAGATGGTGGATTATTACAAAGTCCTTGGGCTGTGCAACAGTGCCTCACAGGATGATGTTAAGAAATCCTACCACAAACTGGCACTAAAATGGCATCCTGATAAGAATCCCAGCAACAAGGAGGAAGCTGAAAAGAAATTCAAAGCAGTTGCTGAGGCATACAAGGTTTTGTCCGACCCTCAGAAACGATTGCTCTATGACAGATCTGTTAAGAAGAGCAGATCCCACAGAGGAAGAAATGCCACGGGGCATAATTGCAGCTCCTTTGAATCCCCTTATGTATTCCAGGACTTCAAGAAGGTCTTTAGGGAAGCCTTTGGAGAGATGGATCCCTTTGTACGTGTTTCCTGGGACCCCTTCAACAACATCAGAAACAATGTTGAAAACTGGCACAGTACAAGCAGAAGAGGAAGAAGGTCCAACATGTTTCCTGACTTTATGGAGTCATTTATGACAAGCAGTTCATTCAGCCCCAGCATGCAGCACACCTGCTTCTTTGCTGGGGACACAGCTGCACCACGCAATGTCAGATCGGTGTTAACCACTACTAAAGTGATCAACAGCAAGAGGATCACCACCCGGAAAATCATCGAGAATGGGCAGGAGAGAATAGAAGTGGAAGAAGATGGCAAGCTGAAGTCTGTGAAAATAAATGGGAGAGAACACCTGAAATGATAGTGTCCCCCCACACAAGAACTAACTGCAAGCTATGGGACGTGCTCCCATTGCTCAACAGATGAGATCCACTACAAGCAGTCTTAATAAATGCTGAGTTCGTGATGTAACCGATGCAGACCTCTCAATGGTTGGGAACGAATACTTCACAGGCAAAGATATGGAGTTGTGCTAAACTTAGGAGTGGGACTTACTAACCCCGCGTAAGGTGATAGATAGTGCTTGTTTAGTAAATACGTATAGTAGTTATGTGTGAAAGCAACCTTGCTGATTTGCCAAAGAGACCAAGATGATTAATACAGCAAGAGGAGACAGGCTGCTTGATGGACAGGTAAGAGCTCTAAAAGAAGCTACAGGTCCTCTTCCCACTCCTTGAAATGCCAGTCTTGAAGTCTACTAGCTGGAAGAATAAAGACTTGTGTGACCCTCATACACAAACCTGAGGCTGAGTGGAGAATATCCTACCTTTTGTATGTGAGAAGATGCATATTCATTCAAAACAGTTTTGTACACAGACAAGCAGGTGGGGGGACGGTTCAGTGGGTCATACAGAACCTAGAGGAGAGGGACTGGCATAGGGAAAACCAAAGGAAGGAAGAAAATGTCATTCTTCAGACTGTAGGAGAAAATAGGGGCTTTCTTGAGAATACCCTGCAAATTATGACCAGTGAGGGTGACAGAGCACTGGAACCGGCTGCCCAGAGAGGTTGTGGAGTCTCCTTCTCTGCAGACATTCAAAACCCGCCTGGACGCCTTCCTGTGTAACCTCATCTGGGTGTTCCTGCTCCGGCAGGGGGATTGGACTGGATGAGCTTTGGAGGTCCCTTCCAATCCCTAATGGTCTGGGATTCTGTGATTCTGTGACCTCATAGAAGCACCGTGCAGCTCGGGGGCTGAATGCGAGCAGGGAGATGGTGGATTTGGCCCTCAGACTGGGACAACCTATGGTCCATTTCTGCTGAGAGTTGTTCAGACAAAAAGATAAACTAAAACCATGAGCAAACAGATTCCATGGGTCTGAGTTTAGCTCCCTCTTCATGCGAAACTGGATGCGGGGACTGAGATCGTGCTATACCATCCTTATTGCCTTGTTCACAGCTGCAAGAGCCAGTTCACAATGCATTTCTTGCACAGCCTGCCAGTGTGCTGCTTTCGTCCTCCACTCGGCTAAGGAACGCACTCTTCACGTTTCTGCCCTCCCCTGTGCTGACATGAACTGCTGAGCCTCGTTTCTTGCTTGGCCAGATCACTGTAGGCATTTAAAATGTTACACGCCTCTTATTTTCGGTCCCACGCTACATCTCCTTGAGTTTCCCAGCTTGCCCTGCCCACTGATGTCTCCCTGGAGACTAGAACTAGCTTTCAGGGACATTTTCACTCTAATCCAGATTGCCAATGCTGCCTGTGTTTGGGCAGGTCTTTGCATCTGTTTCCTCTGCTGTAAAATGGGAATAGCAGACTCTCATGCTTTGGAGGAGACTGCGAGGTGATACTAGCAAAGGACTCCAAACACTAAGTGGTGAGTTAAATTAGCCAGAATACCCCTTACTCAAAACCTTTTACTTTTGAAAAGAAAAACATAGCTTCAGTCACCTTCCTTAGCAACTGATGCCATGCCCAGCTTGGAAAAACAGACCCGAACTGTATTTGTTAAGGACTCTTAAGTCTCTGTGAGTCTCTCTCCAAGTAAGAAGATGACACAGCACTGGGAAGTGAGTAGAAGTCTCAGTGCGTGCTGGGTTCACAGAAGGAGGCCAGCAGTGATAGGACCAGGGAAAACCTTGGTTCAGGGACAAACCGCATCTGCTGCTCCTCCAGTCTAGGAGCCATCAGTAGCACTGGGACTCCAAGGACTGCAAAGATTTAAGGGGCTTGGTATGGAAAGGTTATTTTGGTCAGAGCAAGCACAGGTAAATATTTCTACCAATACTCTGTCTGTGGACACATGTGAGATGGCTTCTTGAATTCACCTTATGCTACTTCAGAGGAAGTCCAAATTGAAAAAAACCAAACAACCAAACAAAAAAAAGATCAAACTGCACATTTTGGATCGGAAACTGAAATGGTCTTTGATCAAAATAACATGTTTTGAAATCTGGACCAGAGTTGAATTCCCAGCTCCTCAACCTTTTCAGCTTGCTAAGGCTAAAACTTTGCTTCAGTCTCATCTCTAATGGGTTATTTTTATGTGTGCACATCAATATGTCTTGATCTGAGATCAAGATATGCAGATCTACACACGCCGTAGACCTGTCCTGCCTTGGGTCAGCAATTCCCTCCCTTGTATCAGTATCTGAGGCAACATCTAAGAGCAAGAGCTTCCTTTTCCCATCTCTGGGTCAGAACACTCCCATTGCCGCTCACAGCAGCAGAGCTCTTGGGGCAGCTCTGGCAGCTGCACATACCAAAGCCTGATGTTAGCAATATGGGAACACAGATTGGGAAGGTACCCAGCTCACCCACTAAGTGTTGAGTCCAGGAGGACTTACAGGTCCTCTTCCACATCTGCCTGTGCATTGCAGGCCACAAAACACCTCACAGCACTTTCTGCAAGCAAAATATGCAAGACTGAAAAAAAGAAAACCCAAATAAAATGAGTTGTGTGTCTGTTACAGAGAAAGGCAGATGAACCCCAGCAAACCTTGTCTTGGAAGAAAACCCTTGCCTGTCCTAGGACATGGGATCAGACTAACACTGAGCCTGCCAGCAAGGCACTAACACCTTCAAGAAGTTTTTTAAAGCTTTTCTTCATGCCATTTAGCAGCTGCAGTGCCAAAGGAGGCAGCACTAGATGCTCAGACACGGCACAACCTGAGAGCCTTTGCCTCCCCCAGTTCCAGCCCTCTGTTCCTCTTCCAGAAACACATCTTCTCTCGAAAAAGCTGTATTTTGGGCCCTTGCCTGGTCAGTGGTGTGTCTTTCAGGTGCCTTCATGGCTGAAGGAACTTGCACGTGCAGTTGAGCCACCTATGAGGACCATATCTACCAGTAACAGAGGATTTTGCTTAGCTGCCGATGGAAACCAGCCCCTCATCCTTCCAGCCATCACCGGACAGGATGGGCTCATTTCCAGCACAAGCTCTGCTTGAACACACCACGTCGCAGGGCCACTCAAAGCCTCCCATTCGACTGCAGCGCCGAGCACAAGTGCGAGGGCCCAGCTGGCCCATGGCACCGCAGGAGCAGGGAGCGAAGGCGTCTTGAGCCCGGCCGGCAGCCTGCGCCGAGAGGCTGAGTCATTATTTTATTAGCAGGCCCCACAACTACTTTAATGTGGGCTTAGGCTGCAAAAACAAAAACATACATAAAAGCATTTGGAATTACTTCATAAAATACTAAATCACAATATTAACCGACTGACCTTTGCTCCACGCAGACCTGCTAATTTTAGCAATTACAGCCAACAACTTGAACATATAAAGTGGGCAACTGTTTAACAATAATGACATCTGCTTGGAAAATCCAATTATGTCTAAACATCTTTAAATCCCCACTAGGGGATACCTGCTTTCTTTTTTCAACTGTTAGTCTCTGCCTAATAGGATTTTAAACTCGCAGCCTGCTGCACACAGTGGTGGCAGTGGCCCCTCTCCCTGGAGTGGCAACAAGAGGACCGCCATCCCATTAAGCAGGGAGTGAGAGTGTCTCCTTGGACAGTGATGGAAGCGGTTTGGGTTTTTGACAGCCTAATCTGATAGACGGGTGCATTAGCTGGATCCCTTTGCTCCCCCATCACCCCCCACAGATACTGCTCCCCTCCGCACCCCCCCAGGGTTACATGTGCTGGACACAGCCAGGACTGATCTCTGCAGGCTGTTTTTCAGGCAGGACCTTGCTACCAGGATGTTGCCTTTCATGGGGCAGATTTTCTCCTGCAGTGTCCGCAGTCACAAGCTAGTTGTGTTTTCTGGGTTGGTCTCTGTTTCTTTCCTCTCTTTTCTCGTTTCTTTCCTCCTCTACCCCCACCTACTTAAATCTCTCCATGCTGCTCCCTGCTTCATGGGTGAAACTCCAGCGCTGAGATCTGTTCCTCTCTATTATGGGAACCCCTACAAGGCAACAGCTATGCAGTGGCTTTCACAGCCATATTTCAGGCCTGCAGGTTTTTCTTGCCAAGAAAAGTGACGTTAGAAGTAAATGGGACCAGTGAGGAAGAGTGAGCACAACAAGACCACACAACTCTCCAATAAAGCACCCCAATCCTGCACCCTAAACTCGAAGGTCCTTATCCAGCCCCTAGTTAGGTTGCCACAACCTTGTGCTCCACTGGTCTGGCAGCTCCATGGCCCCACTCCTGATCACTCAGCACTCCAGGCTGCGAGGCTATTGTCAGATATTTGAATTGAGATACAAGGACAGAATATTTCCATCCCCTCTCCTCCCTCCCTCTCCTCCCTGGCCAGCCTGGCTCTTTTCTGATGGAGCGTGCAGCAAAATCACAATCACATGTTTGCAGCAGTAGGAGGCCATTGGCATGGAAGTGGCTGTGATGTCACTACAAACATTTCCACCCTATCCCGTTTCTCTACAACAGTCTCCGTTTTTATGACCCCATCCTGAGATCTGCAGGAAATCAAATTGTCCTGATTCTATTTTGAGCGCTGGTGTCATGGCATCAATATATAACGATGTGGTGTTGAGCCAGAGAGGCTCAAGTGCTCTGCTGTGGTGTTGCAGCCGGTTTGCTTTGTGCAGCTCCACGGCCTGGATCACAGCTCCACAGCCTGGATCACAGCCCTGTGGATGCCATGCTTGCCGTGCTAGGACCGCTGGGGACATGCATGCTGTGTCAATGGGATGAGCTGCAGGACACAGGGCAGCTCCCACGCTCTGCCAGAGGTCATCAGCTGGGGCACAACGGTACCAGAGGGCAGAGCAAACGCCCAGGGATGGGATGTACAGTTCCTACAGAGAGATGCATTGGATACCAACCATCCCCCAGGGAAAAGAAGAGTGTGGTTGCAAGGTGCTTATACAGGGCAAGGGGAGATGCAAGCAAG